AATTAATGCAAATAAAATATTTTATTCAATATTTATATGTAAACAATTGGAAAAAATAATTATATTAATATTACGTTTCAAAATATACCCACATCAATTTATGAACACTTTAAATCATTCCAAACTCGGGAATATTTCTCACGAATCCATTGATTACGACTATCGGCGCAATTGATATTGTCGTCCATCACTGTATTGTATGGGTTTTGGGTTAAAAACACTTGAAAAGTATCACGATCCAAATATGTAATAGAGTCCCATGCTAACTTTATTGTAGTCGCGCATCCAATCAACTCTAACGCCCGGCTGTCGAACGGGTTCTTCACTTGAGACTCAAAAGACATGAGCAAACTCTGGTCAGTGGTGTTGTGGTCGACAGTGAAGGCGTGTTTGGCCACCCGTTCTATTCTGGACGGGCCGTCAAATGACAATATTTTCAGCGAAGGTAAATCGTTGAACGCGTTGGCAAATATCGTGCGTAGTGGATTTTTATAAAAATAGATCTTGCTCAATTTGCTTAAACCCGATAGACTCAACGATGGCAGTGATTGTACGCCAGTGTTATCCAGGTATAGATATTGCAACGCTGTCAACGTACGGATAGCGCCGAATAGGTTCGACTTGTTTGTGGCCAATTCGGTGACCGAGCAATTGTGTAAAGATAGATGGGTTATTGTAGCGGCCGTGCCGTCAAAGGCTGCCCCGTCTATGCGTTTTAAATAACTTTTATTGTCAATGTATATTGTGGTGAATTGTATGCCACCGAACGCCTGGGCCGGCAGTTCCACTACATCCTTGTTATATACAAATAGTCCTCTAAATTGTTTTCTATCGACGAGTAGTCTACGGCTCAGGTCAGCGAATGTAGCCTTTATATCAATGCTATCGCCATCCGAGCAATATATGTCGCAATATGTTGGTCCACCAGAGTATGTACATGGTGATTTAATAGGCACATCAACGGGACAGTCGCCAACAACTTTGCTAATTAACGCCAACACAAATACTATGAAGTAATAGTAATAATAATGTTTAGATATTGTTTACTTTAGCTATAAATATTAGTACTTTTAAAATGCATTATTAAAAAGTATGACTATTTAAATATGATAATTTTATAACAATGGAATTTATGATGTTGTGACTTGCTTTTGTGTAGTAGTTTTAAGAAATCTAAATAATTATTTAAACTATTTATATAACAGACAAAAGAAAAAAAATAGTGCAATTTAAATAGAAATATTTAAACATTACTTTTTAACAAAAATACTAAATGCTATTAGTAGTTTAATATTAATATGGATTAAATATTGTAGTTATCGTACAGATTATAACACCGGATATTTACTATAGAAACTTATGAATGTTGGATTAATTATGATTATAAATAACCTTAACATTTACATTAATCTATTGAGCACATTAAATATTAAACAAAATAAACTTATTATAATTTTAGATAAATGTTTATTAGTTTATGAATAACGGCTTTCAATGTGGACCACAATGGCAACACATAAAGCTTTGCTCAAAAATATCTTATAAAAAACAATTCCGCTTACTCAATATAACTAGTTATAGATAAACTTCAAATAAATTCATTTTTAATAAACAAGTAAGTTTAGAGCAATTTAATTCTAGTGTATCAATTAATAATATGGTTACTTTTAAGCTCAACATTAAATAGATAATTTAAAAAACAATTCTATCATTCAAATCCACATACAACACAATCCCACATCAATTTATGCACACTTTAAATCCACCCAAACTCGGGGGTAATTCTCTTGAATCCATTGATTACGACTATCGGCGCAATCGATACTCTCGTCTTTAACGGTGTTTATCGTATTATCGTTTAAAAACACTTCAAATACATTGCGATCCAAGTATTTCGTTGAATTCGGTCCAAACATTATAGTAGTCGGACATCCGATCGACTCAAATGCCCGGCTGTCGAACGAGTCGTTCGGTTGAGTATAAAAATTGATTTTTAATTTCTGATTGGATGCGTTGCGGCCGACAGTGAAGGCGTGGTCTGACACCCGAGTAATTGGGCTCTTATAAAAATGCAACGATTTCAATGCCGGTAAATTGTCAAATGCGTTCGATTCAATTGACCTTAGTGGATTCTCTACAAAATCGATTCTATCCATAGTTCTTAGACACGATATACTAAACGATGGCAGAGTAGTTACGTCTGTTCCACCCAGGCCGAATGATTTGAGCCCTTTCAACGTGTTAATAACGGCGAATAGAGCGGTGCTGTTAACATGTTGCGCCAATATACCTAAATGGGTTACAGTTTCGATTGTGCCATTAAAAGCGTTTACATTGATTTGTTTTATGTTATTTGTAATTATTTTAATGTATTCAAATTGTATGCCACCGAACGCGTTGGCCGGCAGTTCCTCTACCGCTGTGTTATGTAATAACATTTCTTTGAATTGTTTCTTATCGGCCGGTAGTCTACGGCTCAGGTCAGCGAATGTGGCCTTTATATCAAAGCTGTCAGCGCCCGAGCATTTAATGTTGCAATAAATGTAATTGACTTCAAAATAACATGGTGATTTTATAGGCACATCCGTTGGACATATGTTGTATTCGCCACCAACCTTGTTAATAATAACAATTAACGCCAATAGACTTACTGTAATAAATTATAAACAAAAATTATGATTTGATATTTTAAATGATTAATTAATAAATATTTTAATATTTATACTTTTAAACCACATTATAAATTTATATTATTAAATAAATTTTTGTATTGTATTACGAAGTGAAATTTGTAATATTTATATTAATTTATCATAAATGTAACGGTTATTTATATTCTTTTGTATTCATGTACTGTAAATCTAGACAAATTATCTGTATATCAAATATTATTTATATTAGTAGATTAAATTGTCTAAATTATACAGAATTCAGTTATCATTTACATAACAAGATAACTAAGTTTACAAATTATAAATATTGTTAAATAACAATTACATTCCATACTACATAACCACCATAGTTTATTGTCCGTAACCATGATCATTGTACTTTATCAAATTATTTACTTATTTATAGTAGTTACCCTACATAAGCTGTTCATACATTTATTCATTACCATTATAAATTACCATAATAAAATAATACTTAAATATCTCCTGTCACAAGATAAATGATTAGTAACTTAAGAATAATGAAATTGATATGTTAATAAATTATATCCCGGATTAAATGTTTGACGATAATATTTTATTTATTGTCATTTATAAATTATCATAGAGTATGGTTGTTTAAAAACAGATGATTATTTATATTTTAACGTACCATGCCAAGATTATTATAAATATAACCTGCATTTTTTTACATTATACTGACAGACGAGTTCAGCCATCAACACGAATAAATGCATTTATTTTTAACATAGTTTAAAATATTGTTTTCCATCGCCTAATTTTATTATGTTGCAAATAACAATTTAATGATCTGGTTGAATTAAAAGATTTATTTATCTTTAAATCGGATTTTGAATATTGTAATTGTCTGTTTAGACCGCATTTCACAAAAGGCTTAAAAGAGCTAGATAAAACACTTGCATATTCCATATCAGGGCAATAAAGCTGACTGATATTAAATTTTGTTATCATCTTTAAACTTAATTTATTCTATTTTCTATTGATTATCATAAATCAATTGTGGATTATTATAATAAAAAGTATGCAAAGTACAATATGTAAAATAAAAAGTATAAACTATAAATTTGAGATATATAACAAATGTGGCAATTAAAACAGTTTAGCAAATACTGTATATAAGGGGTTGTGGTTAAAGTCACAAAAGCATTATTTTGTTGTAAATTGAAAATATTTTAAATAATTAATATAATATTTTCCAAATACGTATAGCTAAATTAAATTACATTATTCATTTAATAATGCATTTATTTAGCTTATTGCTAATTATTGCAATTATAAGCAGTGTGAGCGAGCTCATTTACGGCTACCAGCATGTCGATTTGACGATACAGCCAAACGCTGTGGGTAAGGATGTAACGGAGGCGACGGTACGAAAAGTGAACTCGCTCAAAATAGTGGCCAACGACCACGAATATTTGCTGAGACTGGCGTACGTCGAGTCACAATTTGGTGACAAACCATCGAGGTCATTTGGCACTGCAAACGAAACCGGTGGAATTTGGCAAGTGAGCAACGAGGTCCTATTGGCCAGCCAAGACACCGTTGCCACGCCATCGCTAACCATGCTCATTTATAAGATATCGGCTAAATTCCGCATTAATTGGTATGGTGTGCGCGCGACTGATTTGACCAAGCCACTTTATTCAGCGTTGGCCGCACAGCTATACACCAAAACACTGGCCGAACCCATACCGGACACTATGGCCAAGCAGGCAGACTATTGGGCCAAATATTATCACCCAGGTGGCTCGGCTAAGGTATTCACCGACTCAGTCACCACATTGCTAAAATGTTTTGTGTGCCGAACATGTACGGACAGTTGCAACGTGCTCGATGGGTCGGGCAGTATTGTCTCAGATGATTTTGAAAAAGCTCGCAAATGGATCAGGGACAGAATCGAGGACTTTTACACGCCCGATATAAGCAGGTTCTGTTTGGTACTGTTCTCGGATTCAACCGAAACTGTGTTTAAGCTAGATGATAGGTATACAGATAATTTGTTTGTTGCTTACTTACTTACTTACGTACTTACTTACCCACAAAACAAAACTAGTAAAAAATTTACAATTTATATTATGTGTTAAATGTTATCCATAATTTGTGAATTTTGCATAATAAAAATATAATTTATAGACTGACCAAACAAGAAGTTCTGGTCAAGATTGATGGTATAGTCCAGCCTCGGGACGGAACCAACACCCGGGCCGGCATGATTGAGGCGCAGGACATATTCAAAGCATCCGCGCAAAGGCTGGGCGTTCCCAAACAGATCATGGTATTGACCGACGGCCAGTCCAACGATGGCGTACAGCCGGCGCCCGGATTGGCCAAAGCGATGGGCATTAAGACAATGGCTTGGGGTGTGGGTCCTGGGGTTAACCAAACCGAGCTGCTTGAAATTGCCAACGGCGACCCTGATAGTGTTGATTTAATTAATAATTATGACTCGCTATTTGAAAAAACGTACAAGTTTAAAACAATGAAATGCAGCATGGCACAAAAGCCGCCAGTTGGCACTGAGGTGGCAGACAATTTGCTCAAGGGCGAAAAGAGATTTTATAATTATCAATTGGGCGCAAACGGCATAACTGTTAATGTAGGCAATAAAAATAACGGTCAGGTTACTGGTTATTTTTCGTTCACCCTGACCAATCCAACGGCAGCCGAAAATGATGGTCAGTTTACCGGATCGGCTAATATAGTTAAATCTGGTGCCACTGAAGTGTTTGTGGCCATAGAGGGTTCAGCTCCCGGTGACAGCCATTATTCTATTAAGGTTGTTAACAATTGATTAATTAATGTACATTTGATATACATCTACAAAATAATGATGAAATAATATAATTTACATAATTAATATACTATTAAAATAAAATAAATTAGAAGATTAATTTACAGTTTACTGCAATAAATTATTGTAATCTTTTTTAGGAACTATTCATTGGATAATCATTATGTATTTTATAAAGTTATTTTGCATTATTGTAAATGTTTTCAATTAATCTTAATTAAAATAATGATCACAAAATCATATTAATTAATAAGATAGAATAGAAATAATAATATAAAGCCCGGACCATATCTAATACACTTAAGAAAATATTTTTGATAAGTTTTATAAAATAAATTTTTATCACAAAACAATATTGTGTTGTTATTTCACAATTAGTTTTGATTTAATATTTTATTGTTGATTAGAGCACATTAAACAATTAGGCTTAAAACCACTACTATTTGCGTGAACTAATAATGCCGTAATATATGTTGAAGTTTCGTTATAAGTATTCATATATTAATCGATTAGATACCGATGCTAATTTTGTCTAATAGATACGAGATATATTTCACAACTTTATTAATTAAAATACAATAATTAATTAAATTTTGTTAATTAAATATATTTATATTTTTATAAGCTAATAATAACTAAATAAAATAAGTTATTTTTTAAAATATGAATTTAGTAAACTTAATCTTGTTTCTTACAATAATATCTATTACGAGCGAGCTGATTTATGGATATACACCGGTCGACTTAACCCTACAGCCAAACGCTATGGGTAGGGATGTGGCCGAGGCGTCGGTGCGAAAAGTGAACTCGCTCAAAATAGTAGCCGACGACCACGAGTTTCTATTGAGACTGTCGTACGTGGAGAGCGGGTACGGCTGTTCGTACGCCAGCCTCAACACAACAGGTGGTCTATGGGGTGTAAGTAGTGCTGTATTTTTGGCCACCCAAGATCCAGAAGCCACACCCGTGTTGACCAAGCTCTATTTTAAAATATCATCCAAATTCCGCATTAATTGGCTAGATGTGACTGAAGCCGAGTTGACCAAGCCACTTTATTCAGCGCTGGCCGCTATGCTATACACCAAAACACTGCCTGAACCCATACCGGACACGATGGCCAAACAGGCAGATTATTGGGCCAAATATTATCACCCAGGTGGCTCGGCTAAGGTATTCACCAACTTGGTGACCACAATGCAAAATAGTTTTGTGTGCCGCACCCGTATGGACACGTGTTTCGTGTTGGACGGCTCGGGCAGTATAGCAAAGGACGACTTTGAAAAGGCTCGCAAGTGGATTGTGGGCCAGATTGATATTTATGAAGGTCAAAACTCACGGTTTTGCCTTGTTTTATTCTCTACTGATGTTCAGACAATATTCAACCTAGATAACAAGTAAGTCAAGTACCATATTAACCAGCATATAGTACTGTAAAGTGCAACCAATAGGGAACTTAACTTTGGCAAAAAAGTTT